TTCATCCGGAGAACACGGTTTGTCGTCGGCAATAGCTTGCTTTGCGGGAAAAACAAACGTCTCATCAAGCAGACTGAACTCATACTGCTTGACGCGGAGGGGATTAATGTCACCCGTCCGCAACTTGTCCGGCAAATTCTTGAGCGGCAATACCAAAATTTCATGCGTAGGTAAAGCCAGGTTGCACATGATAGCCAACAAAAATGCCGACATCCGAAGTTGGCAGAAACTTGGACTGCTTCGAATCGACGCGCTGACGATTGATCCAATACGACAATTTTGCACCAAATGGAATCTTCGTGTCAGGAAACTCATCACCAAAACGCAAAGCCCACGGCGACTTATCCTTGTCATCTGGAATTGTAACATTGAGAGCAAATGCATGATGTTGAGCTGCCAAAGGCCAAGCTCAACCGGCAAACCACTTTGAAACAGATTTGCTCTTGCTCCCTCCAGAATTGTACGAATCTCGCGCTCGATCACCCCGGAAGATTGACTGACATATGGCTGGCTCAGCACGTGTCTCCAACCCATACTCTTTACTGCAGCTGCAATTTCGCCAGAATTGTCAGAATAGAAAATCCCAACATGATCATCTGGCTTCGTGAAATGTTGAAATGCACGAACGCAACTGTCAGCATCTTGCCTTGCTGAAGGGTAAAAATACCGGAACTGCGTGAACACATCTTTCACGACCAAAGCATTCCACTCGCCCTTGAACCCGTACGTCTCATCATTTGAAATGACGTGGTCAGCAGTCACATGATCTCCAAATGCTTTTGCATCCACCGAAGAAGATCCATGTCTGCGACGAGCCTGAGGTGCTTGCATCTTTGATCGCACACACGTTTCGCAAAAGGGGTTCTTGGGCCTGTGAGTGAAAAGATGCTCTTCACTTTTGGCCTCACGCATCATCATTTCTTTTGAACGCTTTGACATCGGTTTTGGAGCTTTTTCAACCTCAGGGTTGTCCTCCAATTCCGGATCAAACTCCGGTTCCAGCGGTTCAGCTTCATCAGGGCGCAATGGAAACGATGCAGCATCCGGCGGAGGTTGCCCTCCGCTTGAAGATGAAGGCACTTCAACGCCCCCGATCTTCTGATCGGATGCAGCAAGAGCAACAGGCATAGCTGATTCAGAAGCTATGACCTCGCACTGATCGTCAACATAAGGAACTCGCCCATCGAGCTTCAATATTACCGCTTTCCCGTCAGGTCGAACAAAGTACGGAGCACTGTTCTTTCTCCATACGAAATCGTACCCCTTTTCCAAACATCTTTGACCAACAGAAAGTACAGCTGGTGTGCTCGGCAAAACATACGGAGTGACGACCTCGTTCAACTGATCAATGGAGAAGTCCGCAATCTTGTCTGCACAAATTGATCCATTTGCTGTTGAAAGATTGATTGGAGTCAATGCAGGATTTATCTTCTTTTGAAGTGTAACTGCACGCTCAGAGTCGACCAGATCTTGTTCACTACCTGTGTCGACAATCCACTGACGAAGCCCTGCTGGTGCTGGCGTAGCAATGTACTCCGGCACATCGTCAAGGTTCATTTCATCATCATCAATCCAACAGCCAGGACAATATAAACCGCAATAAATTGGGTCATTGTCATCATAGTATTCGCAATAGAACCCACAAGGCGCGTTGTAGTTTGCATGCATCAAGTCAACAACCCCTTCCAGGATCAAAGCTTTGTCTTTAGCATCGCTCAGATCCTTGGGATTTGAGCCAGGCGCACAACCATCATACCACACAACCTCAGGGTCATTCGGCTTTGGAGCACATGATAGGCATAGCCCATTGGCCTCGATCTCGACGATCTCGACATTGTCTGCGAATTTCACGCATCTGCGGGTATTGGAAACATCTGTACTGCAAATGAAAATTGTTTGCCCAGTCCAGTATTGCTCCAAACCTTCATCAGGATCCGCCCAGAAATCACCAAACACTTGCTCTTTGCCATTGATGTTGGCTTTGGTGATGCGCTGATCCAATAAACGTTCCAGCGAAATCGGAAGGTCTTTTGCACTCTTCGGATCATAAAGCGCTTTTCGAGGCATCACATGGTGTCGAATGATCATCTCGTTCACCGAGTCAACTTCCCAGAAATCTTGCTTTGGGCGGCATGCTGCGAGGCATGCATTGGTCTCTTTCACCCTCAGACACACAGCGGCTGAGGACTCGCCCTTTTTGCTCTGGGATCGCTTCCTCCCTTTTCCCTTTGGGGTGGGAGACCTACCTCTGCTGGCTCCTTTCTTTGGGCTCGGCTTATCTGTCGCTGGTGCAGCAGACCGAGTCTCATGCGAAAACGCACAGTTGTCTCCACGAGTGCATTTCCCCTGACCGCCTTTGAAAAACCTGCAGGGAATCTTCTTTAGCTCCGCTCTCTTTCTTGATGCCGACCGATCCCTGTCTCTCGCTTGGCTGTCAGAGCGCCCCCGACCTTTTCCTTTCGGATTTTGGCTCGGGGGTCTTGGGTCTTTCTCATGCTTGTAAATGCAATTATCCCGAGTGCACTTGCCTTTCTGAAAATCATAGCAATACCTGACCGCTGACGGATCTCTTGCACGCCCAGGATTTGCATTGGGAGCTGGAGCACCGACCTTCTGATTGTGAGCTCGAGCAACACGATCACGATTTGACTGCAATCGCTCCCGAGTCAAAACATCACGAACGGCCTGAACAAGAAACTCGTAGCTCTTGTCATACGACCCATCTTTTGCACGCTCGTATGTATCGAGGTCATACTTGATCTTGTGACATCCACGAATCTGTCGCAAGAAAATGTCCTTCAAGACGTGCTGCTCCGGAACGATCTTCATGCCAGCAATGACGGAATCCCAATTCTGAATAAAGGTCATCAAATCATTGCCATGAAGCACCACCTTCAACAAATCTTCAGTGGAATACAACGCTCCGGCCTCCTCATTTGTTCTGAAATACTGCTCAAACATGAGAAGAACTTGACGCCCACGGACAACTTTGTCCAAAGCAGCTTGTTGCTCCTTGTAGGTGAGGATCTGCCGACTAAGGTCGCCCCTAGCAATCCGCGACAAGGCCGCAAGAAGCTTTGTATCCAACGTTTCAAACTGCTCTGGATCTCCTAGCTCTAACATGAGATTCTTCTTATCCTCCCGGTTGACGTACACCTTGTTAACCCAGGTGAATGCAGCATCAGGCCGATCTGAAGCAGCCCGAATTTCTTCGCGAGTAGCCGTTTTCCAGGCTCTATAGGTCTCAGGAGTGGGAAACTCACTCAGCCTCAGCGAATCGGCTTCCTTTGCTTTCGGCCGATCATGCTGATTCCGGACGAAGCCGAGGAGGGCCGCACGGAACTCCGCCTCAGTGGTCTCGGGACCAGTCAACCGATCAATGTTCGGCTGATTTTGCTGACTTCGGCTGTTCTCTTGCTCCGAAGACCGTCTCGCATGATCTTTGATATCAAACTGCATTGCACCAGAAATAGGATCAGTCCAACTCTGCTGTGGAATAATCTGTGGCATAGTTCCAGAAGTTTGTGCATTCTGCGTTGGAAAAAGACGCGGATCATCAAAGATACTGCCCCTCTTATCCAAAAACGACTCCGAACTGACGTTCTGTACACTTGACGCAGGCTGAGGATCTCCGCGCACCATTTCACGCTGCGCCTTTTCGAGATCGTTCCTCAGACGCTCAACGGTGTCGTTCAGCCCGTTGATCGTGTCCTGCATGGCGTGATTCTCCGCCAAAATACTGTCTCTCTGCTCACCGACCGCCTTCTCCGAGTTCTCCATCACAACAGTCTCAGCATGTAAGCTTTGTGCGAAAGCGCTATACTGTGCCGTTCTTTGCGACACAGCTTCGTTCACTTCGGCAGAAATTGCTCCCCGCATCTGGCCAACCTGGGCGTTGAAGAAAGCGCGAGCCTCTGCGAACTGCTCGTGCAGCTCAAGGGTCCGACGGTTGTTCTCCTCGTCCAGGCGATGCACAGTTTCCGCCAAATGAGCGCTATATTCCGCCCTTGTAGCATCCATAGCAACGCGATGTAACGTGTTGGCCTCTTCCCTAACAGCGTCACCCGTGTCGTTATGCACATGCATGATGTTCTGGGTGGCTTGGTAGTTTGTCGCGAACCCGAATACGTTTCGAGGATCGCGAGGGTCAACAGGACCTGTAGGTGCAACTGCACCATCACCACCGTCACCAACTTCTCCAGATATATTGTATATAATGGGCAAATCTCCGGATGCCATGGCGATCTTTGTACAAGCCTTTACGGCTGATAACCTGTGTTATCAAGCCTAGGCCACCTAAGGTAATACCTAGGCAAGCAGCAAACCGTTGACTACTTTTCACACTGCTGATAGTGCTCTTGAAGTCTGTAGCGGCGGAGCATGTACAAGGTACACTCATGCACAGGGTTGGAACCTGAATCCACACTTTCAAACAAACGCCAGATGGACGGTGGTTGGGTTCCATACTTGGAGACGAACCCGTTTCAACCCCCCCTGGCCGATGGTTGCGGAAGATGCTGGGAGGGCCACTTTCCGTGCTGGAATTCGCGTGAAAGCGTGTTAAATTGTCTTACTTCTCAGCCCCATGTTGCTGGATCTGTGCATTTAGAAGTATTTGCCAGGGACATCCATGGATGAAAAGGTTGTCAAACAAGCAAGACATGGGCGGTTCGCATCCTCTTTCTGAGCCCGATCAACTGGAGGCCAAAAGGAACCAGGCCCGCTCTTGGAAGGGCCCCAGCTTTTTTGAACATCGCTCAACGGGTAGTGGTTCCCTGTTGAAACATCGCTTCGTCCTGAACTGAGCTACTTTCACATCTCGTCTCGAGCTCTATCTTTCTGTGTCCACCGAAGCTCCATCCTCAAAATGACCACAAACCACCCCCCACACGTTGGTCGCTCATGCTTTCTCATTCCAATCTTGTCTTGAGAAGCCTCGAAACGCGGCCTCTTTGGGTCAAAAGAAACCAAAAACATCAGCCCTTCCCCAAACCCCCCGCCTTCAGAAAGTCGCGGCACAACGCCCGTGACTCCAAGTCCGCCACATAGCCGTGCACCCCGTCCCTTTGGACGCGCCTTCGGTTCACTTCAAAGGATGACCAGGGTGCCATGGATACGTGTCGGAAGATTTGGACACTCCGCAAATGGGCTTCAGTTTTCCTTTTGGTGTCCAAAACAGACTTGAGAAGGGTGCCAAGCTCCAAACGCACATAGACCCTGGAAGTCATGGTGGCCAAGCCCTCCCCTCAAAAAGGGCCGATTGAGCATCCCGGCTTGCGGTTCTGGAACACGGAGGGTTTTCAACCCAACCCGAAGAACCCCGAAGAACCCCGAAGAAGAAAAAAAAAAAGAAAAAAAAAAGTGGAGAAAAAATGAATGAGGCGAAAAACAAGGACGAAAAAAGATGAAAACAAAAACAGAAAGTGACAAAAGTATGTATACCAAAAAAAAGAGCCCCAAAGAGCCGCGGGAAGAGCCGCGCCACCGAAAGCTCTCCGCGCTCTTCGCGCGCAGCACGGGAGCCGAGACCCGCTTCACCGTGATGAAGGTGGCCTCGTAAGCGCAGAACTGGTCCATGGCGGATGCTTGACGCAGCTTGACGCAGCTTGACGCAGCGGAAACCGGAAGATGCTCCGGGCAGAAAGCAAACTTAGGCAAGACTTGGCAAAAGCGATGTGGCCAAAAAAATGGTCGATTGCTTTGGTTCTTGTTAACATTCAGCCATGAAACATTTTGTACTCATTGAAACTGCCATGGTTTGGACTTCCAAAGACTGAAAACTGTCGGGAACATGGCGTGCATATCCGAAATCTGTCTGGCATGCACATTTATGTTTGGGGGGTGTGCGTCTGGCACCTGGCTTTGCAAACTGGTTTGTTTGACTTGAGTCTGGCTCACCTTTTGGAATCTGGCTGGCAGTGTCGTCGTCTCTCTGGCTGCTCGTCAGGCTTTCTGGAATGGATGGCGCAGTTTCAATCTTTTTCACTGCGCGACACGATGCCCATGCTGGTTATTTGCCTGATTGCTCATCACGCAGGGTTGTTTCCGCTTCTCAAAACACATGGCGAAGGTGGCCAGATCACCAAGTCCCCGGTGTGGCGTGCGGTTGGTCATTATCCTTTAACAGTGACATTCCCCCAACCCGTAGCCGCAAAACAGACCCTCTCCTGTGTCGCTCCCACTGCCCACACTCAGAGAAGCTGTTCACCGCGATGTGAAATTCATTCAATTAGCGGGTGAAATCCTCGATTTAATGTTTGCACTGCTGTGTTGAGGATGACTAACAAGCCTTGCGTTGCTGGAGTCCGACCACGCATTCTGCCTATCCGGAAACCAAGCGACCCAAGCGCAACGGAGCGAATCCATGGCCTAGGATCACTGCACAGCGGCGCAACTTATGTTGGACAACTTCTCATCAAAACCTGATAGAGGCCACAAAAGAAACACAACCACAAAAGCATTCCCAAACAAATCCCCAATGACATGGCTAGAAAGCACCCTAGCTAGAAGTAATTCACGAAAACAGTTTGCAACGCATGTCCAAAACCATCGCCAAAGATATCCTCACGAACAAAGCATCCCCAGGACATGCCGAAGAATTTGGAGCGCTGATTTATTTTGGGATGCGTGTCCTTTTTCGTTCTGTGACATGTCAGATTTTACAGAATCTTATCATGTAACTAGCCCGTAGGCATCACCAGCAGGTCGTGGGTTGCGGGGCAGGCTACAAGTCTGGTTGATTTTTCGTTGGGTTTCGCGCCTCTTGGTGGCTTTATATGAGCTACCGTCAAAATCACTTGTCTTCGTCAAGGAGGTTTTTGCGTGGGGGGCCCTATCGTTTTACAGCGCTTCTGCGCATGGCTTGCACCACGGTGGTTTCGCGCTCAAAGATGAAGCCTCAAGAGCATCCAACACGTTCTGCAAGACAATGGCGGCACCATTGTAGTACAAGCCTAGTACGCGAAGTACACTTCCGCAGCTCCAGCTCGAAAATCTCAACTTTGTAGTATAAGTCTAGCACGCGAAGTACATTTCCGCAGCTGCAGCTCGAAAATCGCTACTTTGTAGCACAAGTCTAGCACGCGAAGTACACTTCCGCATCCAGCTCTAAAACCGCAACTTTGTAATACAAGTCTAGCGTCTAGCACGCGATTGCTGGTAGTTCGGTAGGGAGTGGGGCTTCCGATTGCTGGTAGTTGGGTAGGGAGCGAGGCTTGCGATTGCTGGTAGTTCAGTAGGGAGCGGGGCTTGCGATTGCTCGTAGTTCGGTAGTACGCCAAGTACACTTGTTTCCTCTTTCCTGCTGCTGTCTTGACCAGAAACACGCAAGCGCGGCAAACGTTTATCACAAACCATGTTATCGTTTTCGGTGGGGGCCCTATCGTTTTGCGGTGCTTTCTGCAATTTTACACCAACCAAGCCCGCTTTACTAAAGTGATCTACACATATTTTGACCATCATTCATATGCCTTGGCTTCCCACATCCTCAACATCATCAGTTCCTCTCTGGCAGCCATTTTTTGCTAAAACCGCTGCAAAAAACCGAAAAGCCTCGCATGTGGTTGGGGCTGCGAAGGTTCCTCAACTGAGGAAGCCTTTCTTCCACTTTCGAGGCCTGTGTCGAGGCTTCTTGCATTTCGACACCTTGTCGCATGTCGCCCAGCGTTCGAGGCTTTTAGAGGCCTTGTTTTCGGGCACTGGAATCATAATAGCAATTCAGACGCGAACTTTTGATCAGACAGGTTTTTAGCCCGGAACTTTCACCAGCGGGACACACGGAACACACGGCGGGAAGAGCGGGACGCGCAGCGAGCAGGACCAACGGGATGCACTGCAGACAGAAACAGGGACAACACACTGTGGAACAAACACAGGGCATGCCTGCATATATCTGTGCAAAATGTTACCAGGGAATGCTGCTACGGATTTGCTTCCTCTGAAAACTCTAACACGCTAAAGGTTAAAGGGCTCCGAGTTCCTACAGCACGCGCGGCGACTTTTGATGGCGCTTCCTTTTTTCGATATGGCTCAAGTTCACAATTTCTGAGTACGGTCCATTGGGACCAGCTGCCTACCCTCAGAACAAATCGCCCACAAATATTTTTGATGTCGTTCTGGAACTGTAAGAAGTGTTGTTTCTCCCCGCGTCGCCTGCAGCAGAATCACCGGTCGACAAAAGAGAAAGCCAAGGCCAAGTTTCGAAAAACAGCAGGCATCAAACGAATTTCTGATCTAAGCTTTCCCACATGCCAGGCATGTAATAAGTGCCAATTGCGCCCACACCTTAGAGAATTTCTGAGTAGTAAGGAACATCAGCTTGTATTTCCGTTTTTGGCCCGAAAAAGGTGCATAATCGGCACTTTTTCAGCCAAAATCATGCTTGTCATTGGTAGCGTCATCGCTTGTCATTGGTGCCTTTTGGGTGGAAAAAGTGCGCAAAATTGCCAATTTCCGGAGATTCTGAAAACCTCGTTTTTTCGGTCAGAAAACGGCTCTGCAGGCTTCCAGGGCTCAAAATCACGGCAATATTGAGTCAATATTGGCCCATTGATGGGCAATCGGCAAGCCGTTGCCACGGCAGGTTTTCTCACTGTTTTTCTTGTTCATCCATTTCATCTTTTTTCATCTCCGCTGTTCGAGCCCCAGGGTGCTGCAAATCGCCGGGAATCGAGCCCCAGGCCAGGCTGCAGAGAGCGGGGTCGCCGACCGTTTCTGTGACAGATGTCATCGTTTCTGTGACAGCCGGTTTTGCACGGTTTTGCACGGTTTTGCACGGTTTTGCACGGTTTCGCACGGTTTCGCACGGTTTTTCGGCATGCATCGATGTCATCGTTTCGTCATCGCCGGTATTCGAGGCACCAGCAATCCCGACTGCTGCAAACTCCCAGATCCTCCCACGTTCCTGTCACCCCGTGACACAAACAGAGGTCAACCACGGCTTCTCGATCTTACCCCGTGAGGCGAACTACCACCCAGGTCGGAACTCCGACTTCGCTCTCGGAATTCCGACTTTGCTCTCCCACCGAGGTCGGAATTCCGACTTCGCTCAAGCCACTTCGTGCGATCACCGGGCCATCACCGGGCCGTCACCGGGCCATCACCACTGCCGGGCCACTGCCGGGCCACCGCTGCGCCACTGCCGGGTTATTGCCGGCTGCCGGGCTGGCCGAGACGGATCATTCTGGGTTGAGACCGCCTTTCCTTAGGGAATTATTTTCTCTGGGCAAGACGGATCATCGGGGCCAAGACGGATCTTCTTTTTCTTGGACCGTGAATCTTTCCGCCTTTCACCCGGTGTCTGCTGGAAAGAATTCCGGCTCGCTTTCAGACCGAAGCCGCGGAGCCGGCCTCGCTTTCAGACCGAAGCCGCGGAGCCGGCCTCGACCTCGGCGGGCCCAAAAGCGCCCCGTGATATCCAGCAGCTCCCTTGTCTCAGTGGTTAAAGCGCTGTCTCTGCACCACCCTGGTCCGGGGCTCGAATCCCGTCGCGACCGGGCAACCTTTGCCCATTAATGAACCAATATTGTTTCAAGCCGATTCCATATTGACTCAAACTTGCCAAGAGCCCTCTGCACTTGGCGCGTTAAACCCGGTGACAAGTTCGGCAGGTTGTCGGAGGACCTCTGGGCGTTCGGCAGGCTGGCGCGTTATGACCCGGTGACACAGGCGGCGACAAGTTCGGCAGGTTGCCGTGTCACAAGCGAGGACCTCGACAGGCTGTCGTGCTTCGACGAAAAACGGAAAACCCTGTGAAGAACGAGGTCTTTGGGAACTCGGGTGGCGCACTTTTTCGGTCCAAAGAGAGCGGTGACGAAGCTGCGACAAGTGGTGACAAGCTCAGCGGGATGGAACTTGCCAGCTTTTCCGGGCAGAAAACGGAATCGAGAGCAGAGTGAGCGTCCGGAGTTCGACCGAAACCCAGCGAATCTAGAGGCTGACCCCACTTGCCGTCTGACAGGAAAAAACGAACTTTTTGGAGTTGGCCGTTTTGAGCACTTTTTCGACCAAAAACAGAGCGGTGACAAAGACCGGTGACATCGGAAAAACGTTCAACAGGATGGAGAATTTGGCTGTTTTGCAGGGTTTTTTGACCAAAAAACGAAAATTAATTGGTCCCTATAAGCCCATGTTCCTTACTACTGCCTACGATCGCCTGACAACAGGCGCAAGCGTGCTGGTGAAAAAGCAAGATGATGTCCATTGAGCGCCCGCAACAAGCCGCATACGCTCCAATTTTTCCACAAGACCCACCCCAGCTACAACCGCTCAAGAACTGGAGAAGGCGCGGGCCTTCCGGCTGACGGAGGCCGTGCACCGTCAGGTGCAGGTGCCGCAGCTGCGACACGCGCGCCGAGCGCCGGGCGTGGAACGGGCGGCGGGCGAAGTTGCGCAGAACCGAAAAAGAGATGAAGACGCTTCGGGCCCACGGCTTCAACCAGCGCCCGCGCTTTGAGCAGGCGGTGGGGTACCTCGAGCGGGCGGAGCCTGCTGGACCAACCGGGCCGCAGGCCACCTCGTTCGTCACGAGGCACTTAGTAGTAAGGAACATCAGCTTATACTACCCTATTAGTTTTCGTTTTTGGTCTAAAAACCCTGCAAAACAGCCGAAT